CGTAGGTATATATATTCCAGATGATTGTACGTATGTCGAACATACACAGGTATATGAAAACAAATGCATTTATATATACCCAAATATTGGAATATAGTTGAATACTATGGCAAGAAGGCAATGGCTTGAGAAAGTAGACCTTTTGATATCAGGTATACAGGAGTGACGACAGACACTTCAGGGCTTGAACTGGTCACGGGCTAAACGTTATGAATTGCTCAATGATCACACGCAACTCCCGAATAGGGCTTCTAATGGCATATACGGCTTACTTCTTAGACTATATGGCTTTATGTTGTCTATCTATTCAACTGCGCTTGTATGGATGTATCTCATAATACTGCCTTGAGAGGCGGATAGCCTGGCCCCCGAATAAGGCTGCATATATAATAATGTGTGAAGGCCAGTATATGTTAATTCAGTGTCATTATGTGAGCTGGCGTAGGCACATCACTCTGTCTTAGGACTTTTTTATTTCACTTTTCACTTCTTGTGTGGTCACGGGTCATTGGTCACTGGTTCTCTCAGTTGTCACTTGTTTTTCGAAAATGATTTATGTCAAAATAAAAATAAACACTGATCTCAATACGGTTTACGTTAAAACGCATAAACTAGGAATAGATATACGCTTTTAAATTCAACGTATGTATTTACGATGGTGGCCCAATTGTGATAACATTTGGCGCATTTATGGAGCCCTATGGTTCAAACTGTCTAATATTATTCCATACAATGTTCGTTTAGTTCTCAAATTAGGCTTCATTTTTCCTAGCCTTTTGCCCCGTATTAAATATCTCCCCAGTTTGTAAACCGAATAAATAAGCATCTACGTTAACGGATTGAGGATAGTATCGTATTTTTTTAAGTTGTAGAGGGTTTTTTTTCCAAAAGCAATATGTGAGTCATCACTTTTTCTATTACATATTTCAGAGATCTTGCAGAAGAATCGGAACAATCACCGCCCAGTATTTTATTCAGAAATGAAAGTCATGAGCTTCACATCTCCCGATAATTGCAAAATCAAAAATGAATGCGTATAAACATGACCCTCTCTAGAGAAGAAATAAAAAAATATGCCTGATCGGACTATTGTCCGAAGGAATACAAATGCGCCTATTTTACATGGCCCTATATATATAT